TACCTTCACCATCTTTTCCACCCCCAGATAGGGGCCTTAAGGGAGTTCCTAAAAATGGGACCAAAACACAATTCCTCACGCAGCTGTCACAAACCTGTGAAGTATGCCAAATACAATGTGCGGCCATCTCCCTTCCCAACCCATCAGGCTCGAGGTAACCTCCCAGGAGTAGATTGGTAAATTGACTTCATCCATATGCCAACCGACCACAGGTACTTGCTGGTGCTGGCAGACATCCTTATGGGATGGATAGAGGCATTTCCCACCACCAAGAAGGCCTCCTCTGTGTCTCAGCCATTCTTATAGGAAATAGTTCTGCTTTGGCCTGCCTGTTTCCATCCAGATGGACAATGGACTGGAATTTGTCTCCTCCGTGACCAGCTACTGGCCAGGTCTCTAAATATCTCCTGGTCTTTCCATATTCCCTATCGCCCCCAGTCCTTGGGAAAGGTGGAACGTGCTAACTGCTTCCTTAAGCAAACGCTGACCAAGCTGTCCCTTGAACTACATCTAGATTAGCTAAAGCTTTTACCTTTAGCTCTTTTCTGCTTAAGAGTCTTGCCAAAAAAAAACCCAACATTAAGTCCTTTTGAAGTTATGTATGGCTGCCCACCTTTGCCTTCCCTATTTCAGACCTCGGACTCCCCTTGGCCCCCCTCCCCTCCCCTCTAATGTTTTCCCCTCTCCTTCAGCACCTGCGCACTTTTCTCTGTTAGTATGTGGACCAATATGAACCTAAGCCCTCCACACTGCTCTCCGAGCCTTCCATCAAGGCTGGGGACCTAGTGTACATTTCAAGAAATTACCTGCTACGGGCACTTAGTTCTACCAAGCTCTCTGCTAAGTGGGAGAGACCCTACTCAGTAACTCTACTCCCACAGCTGTGCAGGTTCAGGGCTGTCCACATTGGATTCACATCCGGCATGTTAAATGTCATGTGCCTGATGGACCCTCATATACATCTGAGCCAACCAGACCCCTATCTCTACAGATAAAAAAGGCTGGACCCGGTCTTCCTCCAGTCATCGAGGAACCAGAGGACCCTGCTATGGACAAGTAACACCTTCATAACCATCATGACCTTGGCCAACTTCATGTATAGTACCTGGCACCCCTTCTCCTTTACAGTGTCCCCCGCCCTCAGCAATAAGTAGCTCCATTTGCCCATATTCCCTGCCCAGTACTGTACATATTAAACCAAAAAGGGGGAAATGTAAGGAAACGCCCACTTTGCAGGCCTAATCTCTGCCCTCAATGGCAGCACTGCGCAGTAGGTGAGGCATCTCCCACTTCCGGCCTCCGATATAAAAGGGGCCTCCAAAGAGCTAGACAGCGCCATTTTTCTCCCTTTCCTCTTTAGAACAGGGCCTTGTCAGCTCTGCTGGCAATAAATCTTTCCTTCTACGTGACTTACGTCTGTGTGGTCTTTTGGGTTACTTTCTTTTCTTTTCTTTTTTTGGGTCCGGTTGTGGGGCCTGAACTCTGGGCCTGGGCGCTGTCCCTCAGCTCTTCAGCTCAAGGCTAGCACTCTACCACTTCAGCCACAGCGCCACTTCAGGCTTTTTTTCTTTTTGCTTATGTGGTGCTGAGGAATCGAACCCAGGGCTTCATGCATGCAAGGCAAGTGCTCTACCACTGAGCCACCTTCCCAGCCCTTTTGGGTTACTTTCTTTGGGTTACTTCCTACCCAGGTACACATTTTCTCCTTCAATAATAACCCCCCACCCCCCCAAAACCCCCAGAATTTCAGACAAGGAATACTAAACTTATATCTAGAAAGTTCTTTCTTACACAGACAATCTGAAGTCTGCTATCTTGGAACACCTACTTGCTGGGTCTAGCTTTATCTTTGGAGCAGTCTCTCCACTAATAAAAAGCTGCATTTGGGCAGGACAACTCCTTTTACTAGGTGAGTTTTATAATAACCAAAAATGTAGTAGCCATACATTTACAATCTCCCTCATATATCACGAGGGCATCCAGAGACCCAGAAATGAAGCTAGTGACCAGAACATACACTTTCCCTTTTACCAGAGTAACCTTGCAAATATACCAAGAACTTTTTTTTTGTTTTGTTTTTGGGTGCTACTCCTGGGGCTTCAACTCCTGGGGCTTCAACTCTGCCTGGGCACTGTCCCTGAACTTTTTTTTTGGTTGGTTGTGGGGCTTGAACTCTGGATCTGGGTGCTGTCCCTCAGCTCTTCAGCTCAAGGCGAGTGCTCTACCACTTGAGCTACAGCGCCACTTCCGGTTTTTTTTCTTTTTGCTTATGTGGTGCTGAGGAATCGAACCCAGGGCCTCATGCATGCAAGGCAAGTGCTCTACTACTGAGCCACCTTCCCAGCCCTCCACATTTATTCTTTAGCAGTGTATTTTAGTAGTTTAACAGTCACAAAGTTGTATAGCCACCACCCCTATGTATAGAGGAAATATTTAGAAGAACAAACATGCAGATATATTACAATTAATATATATCAGATATATTCCTGAAATAACAAATTGATTAGAAGCAAACATGGAGGCCACATCCAAGTTAAATACTACTGCTAAAATCAGTATCTAGTTCCAAGTCTGCACGCCATTCTGTTTCCTATACTCATATGACTTTAACTACACTTTAAATATATTAGGATTAAACTCAACTCTTAATACACGTAGCTTCTTCCTACCTTAAGAGTTCTCAAGTCTCAGTATTATCTTGTACATTTAGTTTCAATCTTGCTAAAATCATGTATGTATAAAAATGCTCATTAGCCAGGTGCTGGTGGCTCATGCCTATAATCTTAGCTACTTAGGAGGCTAAGATTTGAAGATCATGGTTCAAAGCCAGCCTAGGCAAGAAAGTCCATGAGACTGTTATCTCCAATAAACCACCAGAAAAACTGGAAGTGGCACTGTGGATCAAGTGGTAGAGTGCTAGCCTTGAGCTGAAGGATAGCACCCAGGCCCAACACAACAACAAGCTCATTATACAACCATGTCCATCACACATTCCACTTGTGTTTGTTTTTGTTGGTCCTGGGGCCTGAACTCTAGGCCTGAGTGCTGTTCCTTAGCTCAAGGCTAGTGCTCTACCACTAGAGCCACAGAGGCACTTCTGGCTTTTTCTGCTTATGTGGTACTGAGGAATCAATCCCAAGGCCTCATGTATGTGAGGCAAGCACTCTACCACTGAGCCACCTTCCCAGACCTCCACTTGTTTTTTAAACATAATTACATATTTGCTTATTTGTTATTATCCTAAAGTAGTTGTACAAAGGGGCTTCAATTCAACATGTCAGTTTCTGAGTACAATGCATCTTAATCAATGTCACCCTTTCATCATTTTCCTCCATCTCTCCCAAACCCACCTATCCCCTTAATTTACCTAGTTCTATTTTCACATACACACTCTCTCTAATCCTGTCTGATTTATTCCTTTCCTCTCCCATTAGTCCTTTCCCTTTAAGCAAAGAGAGGTCTCACACATTAGCTAAGCTCTACCTCTTGAGCCACAAATACCCAGATCTTTTGCTTGCATTGTTTTTGACATGGGTCTCTCTAAGCAGGGCTGGCTTCAAACATGGGATCCCCTACTTACGCCTGTGTAGTTGGAAGGAAGCAGGGAGTCAGTGCCTCATGGGAATCAGGCAACCCTAAGACCAAATCCTGACGTGGCCATTGCATCTATGTGGTGCTGGGCTATATGACTTCTCTCTGGACTTGAAATAATAAAAAATTCCTTTCTTAAAAAAGGGTGAGGGATTAAAATTGTGTATGACCACATCCAGCTCAAAGCCTTGAGGCTTGAGCTCAAAGCCTCTCTCTCTTTGTCTTTTTCACTCACAGCTAGCACTGTACCATTTATGTCACATCACTTTGCTTTTTGGTGGTTAAATGGTTAAATTGTCACAAACTTTTCTTCCCTGGCTGGTTTCTAACCAGTCCTTAGATTTCAGCTTCCTGAGTAGCTAGAATTATAGGTGTAAGCAACAGGTACCTGAAATAAAAACTAGGTCTTGGCAATACTCTCACACATAGCTGCTTGATCTTCTTACCCCCATAACTGTCTTTTGAAATTAGGATTGTGTGGTACTATTGGTGGTTGCCTGCTGAACTTCAAATGTATTTGCGGGCAGACAGCTTTGTAATGGCTTTTGACAGTCATATTTAAATTAAACAAAGTTAAGTATGTGTTTAGTGTAAGTTTTCTCCTTTTAGATTGCAATCACTTTCAGGGTGTAAGCTGTCTCTTCAAGTCTCTGAATCACAGTCTCCATGAGTATGTGATATTTTATTGAAGAAGTGAATCTAAGTGAAGCATAACTTTTTTTGTTGGCTGGTCATGGGGCCTGAACTTTGGGCCTGGTGCTGTCCCTCAGCGTTTCAACTCAAGGCTAGTGCTGTACCACTTGAGCCACAGCGCCACTTCCAGCTATTTCCGTTTTTGTGGTGCTGAGGAATCAAACCCAGGGCCTCATGCATGCAAGGCAAGCACTCTACCACTGAGCCACCTTCCCAGCCCCGAAGTATAACTTTTCTAATCACTGACCCCAGACTTTATGGTATCTCTCCTAAACTACTGCCAAGCTTCACTTTGGAACTGAGGCTGATTTCAGATCTCTTTCTTTATATATTACATATAGGCAATGAAGTGATGAAAACAGGATGGAGAAGAAAACAGGATAAAATCCACACTGAAATTCAAGAAAAAGAAATTCATTACATCATGGAACATTTTTTTCTGGAGATGGTCTTGCTATAAAGCTCAGACTGGCCTTAACTTACTCTGTAGCCCAGGTTGGTCTTGAACTCATGATTCTCCTGCCTCAGCCTCACAAATTCTGGGGTTTTAGGCACATACCACCATGCCTGGCTTTTTGACATATCCTTTAAGTAAATAATTGAGAATAGACTGCCCTATTTTAAAAAAGTACTGATAAAAATATTTTTTAAAGCTCATGAATCTATCCATACCTCCCTAAAAGGTAACTAATTGCAATGATGCATGTGTCAATTACTTTAATTTTGGCAATCACTTTATAATGAAATATCAAATCATGGGAGCATGGCTAAAGTAGTAGAGCACTTGCTTAGCATGCCAGAGGATTGGGTTCAATCTTCAATACTGCAAAAACAAAAGTAAAAACAAAAGCACATTACTGGGTTAGAGGTATATCAAGGAAGCTAGAAGTACAAGGCCCACCAAAAAATAACAGCAACAAAAGAAATCCCCCTAAACAAAAAAATATCTAATTGTCACACTACATAAACTTGAATATAAACAATTTGGCAAGTGCCAACTGTACCTCAATAAAGCTGGAAAAAAAAAGTATAAATGGAAAAGTAACTAGTGGGTTCAGAGCTCAGTTTCAAACCCACTGTCTCTAGATTGTTACCTTAATCAATACATTGTCTTGTCTCTCTGTGTGTACCTCTAATCATTGTCTTGGGCAGATCTTTTTTTTCTTGATTAGAAACATTTCCCCCAATTTGACCCATTCTTTGTCACAGTCATGCTAAAATGGCATGAAAATGTTTTAACTCTGTGTCTGTTTTGGTCTTATAAGTCATTCCTGAGTTTCACAGTTGTAAATAATAATATTCTAATCATTAACACTTCATGAATATGAGTTTTCAGGTGAAAAGTTATGTCAATCAAAGCATACAAAGGCATTCCTAAAATTAAACTTATGACAAAATAGTACCAAGAGCTACAAAATGTTTATATCTTTCACTCAGTAGTACTAGTCTTTAAAAAATTCTCCACATTTTCCATCAGTAAAATGAAGATTATTAGCCCTTTCTGTGTAGGCTACTATGAGATTAAACTTATATTGCTAAAATATTTGAAACAGTGCTTGCCATAAAGTAAAAAGCATTTTAATGCCTATAAATAAAACAAAATAAAACTGTAAAAAAGCATAAGTGTAAGTCATAAGCCAATTTTGGCTTTTTGGTAAACACATATAAAACATAAAACAAATATTGTTCTTCTTAAGATTAAGAAAAAATTTCCAGGGCTGGGAATGTGGCTTAGTGGTACAGTGCTTTCCTAGCATGCATGAAGCCCTGGGTTCGATTCCTCAGTACCACATAAACAGAAAAGGTTGGAAGTGGCTCTGTGGCTCAAGTGGTAGAGTGCTAGCCTTGAACAAAAGAAGCTCAGGTATAGTGTCCAGACCCTGACTTCAAGCCCAGACTGGCAAAAAACAAACAAACAAAAAAAACAAAAACCCAAAAAACAAAAAACCAGTAACACAAAAAAACCCACACACACCAAAAAAACCCAACTGCCCTTAATTTGGTACTTATTTTAAGTGTTTAGAAAACAATACCTAAAACTGAAAGAGGGTGAAGGAGGGGGTAATACTTTCCAAAAAGAAACGTCCTTATTACCTGACTTATGAGATGGAAACCCCTTTGTACATAACCTTTATAATAACAATAAAAAAATTAATTAAAAAAGAAAAACACAACTTCTTTACCTGATGGGCATAGATGGTATCATATATCAGTGTCCACATAACTCCAGAAAAGTAAAGAGGCAAGCACACAGATGGATCACAGGAACCCTTGATA